TTCATTTCTTCCAACCTTCTCATCCAGCCATGTTCCTACCCACCGCAACATATAGCACAATTTACCGCTCCTACAACTTAAATTTTAGTCATTAATAGCAGGGGTGGATCCAGAAACGAATTTGGGAGAGGAAATTCAAAATGTGTTCATCGAATATTCCATATTACAGATTTTATATAGTGTCGCAGGCCACACTCGGCCCATGCTGCGATTCAAATTTATTCGTTTTAATGATAATCAGAAAATATTTTTCTCGAAAGTCAGTTTTTGTTAAAATCAAGTTAAAATCACTTGTGACAAGTTAAAATTAATAGTTACTGAAACATTCTAGGAGGGGGGGAAATTCCCTCCCCGTGGATCTGCGTCTGTTAGGAGGTTACTGACCGAGATACGATATCCAATGATAAGCTTGTCCGACTACTCTGCGGTCCCGCGGAGGTGCTAAAGATCTGTATCAGAAGCAAAACACCTATACCTGTTTTTGCTCTGACCTTAAAGCTATGGAGTGCAGAACGTTAGGGGCTTCATTAAAACATTAGAAATAAGTTAATTTTAAAAAAGAATTTAATCTACGATTTTTAGTTCCTAACATTTCTAAATCAAACACCGAGTAGTACTATATGTTTCCAACACGCATAACGTCTGCATCAGACTCCAATGCAAAATTTGCAATAACAGAAACACTGTATTATGGTCTCGTGACTCGTCGCTCGACTTTCACCACTGAGGTTCCGGGTTCGACTCCCCGTAGAACCTCAAGTGAAATTTGTTACGACAAAAAAAGTTTGCATGCTTCACAGGGGCTATCATAGTCCATCCCCTGTGAAGTGTCAACAACCCTACCCCAATCCTAATTCCTTCCCAATTCTGGCCGCTGAGTAGTGACGCAGGGAAATATACTCTCCCTCGTGACGCAGGCGCGTACGCGGAGATGCTACTTGGCTATGTGGTCCCCTTGACAACTGACGACGATACGAGTCGAGATAGATTTGTCATTACATTGTAATATAAATGGAAGATTGCTGGCGCGCCAATATTAATGGATTACTCCGAAAGCGCTCAACGAAGACACAACAAATTATTGCACTTATAATTCGGAATTCATGTGGTAACATCAGAACCTTTTGAATTTCACGACGTAATGTTGCATTTTATGCCCTTTGCTTGTTACAAACGGTTTGCTAACTTCGGAGCTTGACAAACACGTGCCTCTGCGTAACCAATAACTGCTCTGTAAATCTACCTACAACGGCTTCGACCTGTTCCGGTGTTCACTTCTTGGGCCTGCCGACGTCTCTCCATCCTCAAAGGATGTATTGAAGAGCCTTCGTTACATCCCTTTTCTCGATCCACATCCTTTCCAAGTGTGGGCACCATTTATTTTTATTAGTAGATATTTTTAACTAGAGGAGTGTATCCTAGAGTACTTCGTAAGAATTTTATTTCTGCCGCATGAATTCTACTTTTGTCTTTTTCCAAAATTACTTTCGATCTACTTCCGTACATAAGTAAGGAACGGCAATAGTGTTACATTTATATGAGTATCCTTACTGGGTTTTAAAAGTCTGTACCATATTGTTGCACCGCTAGTTTTCAAATGAGATGAGGCTGCACTGCTTCATAATCCTAAGAAAGTTTTAGATGAAAATATTCCAACAAAAATAGTGCTTATAAAATATAATTGTATACTGTCCCTAAAAGCGGTTAAGCACAGCTTGCTTAAAGTTCAATTTTTACTTTTTCGCTTCCGCTTATGCAGTAGAGAGAAAGTTATGTGCGGTGATGTATGCTGCGCGAAAAAATGGCGACTTTTCGTCAAAAAACAAAACCAAAAAAAACACCCTCTTATCACAGAGTACTGGTAACTAAAAAGTGGATAAATCCAGTTGCTAAATTTAGAAAAAAATCCTCTAACACATGGTGTAGCCTTAATTCATAATTTATTGGTCCTTGATACCGAAAAATCGATTGTCGGTAAAACGTCTGTCCATCCGTCTGTGGACAATGCTAGCGGCTAAACCGTTCAGCCGATTTTCTTCAATATTGACATTCCCCAATCGATCTGATGTCGCGATCCTTGGAATTTGAAATTGATATTTTAATTATGGGTGTTACTTTTCATGAAACCCGTGGGACATTTTCAAAATTTTGAAAAAAGACGGCTTCATCTTTTTTGATTAATTTTAACTGTTAAATAGCGCAAAGGACGTTTAAGAGAATAATGCAGACCTCATTTTCGTTCAAAACCCTGATTTTTCGACAATTGCAAAAATTCAAAATTTTTTCGACATCTTACAACTACAATTATGAAGATAGATATTTTCCCCTTATTGAAGTATGTTCCTTAAAGATAGGTTTTGAAATAAGGTAGTGTACACTTTCTCCGAAAATTGAAGTATTTTTCGCGTACATTTGTGTGAGGTATGGTAATTTTTAATTCTGTGTAAAACATTTTTTTCTAATAAAGAACTTCAACAATTTTGATTAAATGTTGACCACGGATAGCGCATAGGACACATAAGAGAATGGTGCAGGTTTCATGTTTGTTAAAAATTCTGATTTTTGACAAATGCAAATGAAAAACCAAATTGTTTTGCATGTTCCTACAACTACAATTATGAAGATAAAATTTTTATTAATGAAATATGTTCATTAAAAAAGATTTTCAAATAATGTCATGTCCAATTTTTCAAAAATAAGAGTATTTTTGTGTCAAACACAATTTTTATTTTCTTTAAACCATTTTTTCTTAAAAAACGGCACAAAAGTTTTTGTTTAAATTTTACACCTATGGTAGCGTAAAGAATGCTTAAGAGAATGGTAGTACAGGTCTCATATTTCTTAAAATGCCTGATTTTTGGGAAATTAAAAAATGGCGTCTTTCTGCAACTACAATTATTAAGATATACGTTTTTTAATGAATGGTGTTCCTCCAAAACAGATCTTCAAATAGAGTAATGTTGAAGTTTTCGAAAATATGAGTAGTTTTTGAGTAATGTGGCGTCAAACGTAGTTGTTCGCTTCGAATTTCCTGCGCTTCTTGAACATAATTTGAGAGGTGTTTGGAACCTATTGCTAATCTTATAAAAGAAAGTAGATTGAAAGGAATTTAACTTAGAACTAACAAATTAAATCTTTACTTCAAGAAATTGTGATCGCGGATTATGTTATGTTTCATTTCTAAAACTTAGAAATGACTACTGTTTCTGGCTATCAAAATAAACGCAGGTTTGCAGCACAGGCGCTTTGTTTGAATTGGTTGGATTATACTATCATTGGTTTTAAAACTTTACATGAAAAAAATGGAATACAATAAATTTGTATGAACATTTTAATTTCATTTTACTACCTCCGTTGCCTTGGGAAGTAATGCAGCGATGTGTATTTGAGAAGTTCATTGTTGAAAGGCGACAAGATAAGGAACGGAAATTCTTTTGAATTCTTCTCTTTGTTTAACATTAACATTCAACTATTATGAGGCTTTGTTTTATTTATTCATATTTGTTATTTAACGTCAAAAACAAAACAAAAAACTTAGTGTGACCTACTATAGGGAGAAATGTATTCTGTAAACATTTTTTAAATTCTGGTATTCCTACCGTAACCCATACACATTTTGAATTCATAATGCAGATGGAAACGAAACGTTTGTTCTTAGATTAGTAATGAGAATTAGAGGAGAGTTTCTTAGTTGTGAAAACGTGTAGAGTATTTAGCATTACATGTTCATATAAGGAGTTACGCGTAATTCGTGTAACATGTAATCCATTCTTCATTTAAAAGAACATGAAACATTTAAAAGACATTCATTTACAAGACAAGAGAGGAAAGATGCATGGTTGCGGGGGTGACAAGAGTGCATCGATTCGAAGTATAACAATAAAACAAGTGAACTTGTTAACACAGATCGAAGGTGAAAACGAACACTTGAAAACTCACAAAACTATTCGGATACTTGCATAAAAATATAAACAAATATGCACGGTAAATAATGTTCAAACAGAAAAACACGTAAAAAAACACAGTAAGAAAGTTCAATATCTTGTAGCCATCCCCTTTCGCTGCAGCACTTCCTTCAGTATATTTGTTATACATTGTGTAACAAGTTTTTAGGTATAAGAAAGATTTTTGCTGTATTGATGTTGTATTATTTTCTTTAATTCTTGTTTGGAATGAATCAGGTATTTTCTTATCCCCTTTTCCAATTATTCCCAAAGATGTTTTGTAACAGTAAGGTCTGGTGACTGAGGGGGTGGATGAAGTACCTTTGGGCAGTTGTACAGCAGCCAAAGTCGAACAACTTGTGACTTGTGTTAGGGATCATTATACTGGTAAAAATAAAACATATCAAGAATACATAATTTTCAGTACTTTGCTTTAAATTTTGTTTAAGAACGACAAGATAGTTGAACCTGTTCATCATTTGCTTTACGAACACAAGTTCACCGCCAACATTGACATGCAGCCCACACCATTACATTTCCTTCTCCGTGCATACATGTTTTCTCCTTTCAGCTCTTAAGTGAGTCTTCTCAACACCCAAATTCTTCCATCGGATCCACAGCTGTTCATTTTTAATTTGTCTATTCCACCAATCTTCATCTTTTTCTGCGTGTATATAGCAAACCCCTGCCTTTTCCGTTGGTTCGCTTCATTTATAAATGACTTTCTTCTGGCAACGCGGCTATGGAAATTGGATCTCCTTAGTACCCTTCCCACGGTTTCGGGATTTACTTGCTTGCCAATTACAATTTCTAATTGTAGAGTAATTTTTGGTGCACTAATACGAGTCTCTTTTATTGTTCTCACTACGAGATTCTCTTCTCGATCAGAAAATGTCTCCTTCAGTTGCAGTTCACTCCTCTCTTTATTGATGTTCTATGTAATTATGTCAGTCTGTGCTTTCTTCATAAATCGCATTTTGTACATTTTTCGGCATGATTTGCCCTTTGCAAGATGGTAAATATCCAGCTGACAGTGTAGTGACACGGATATAGTGAGGAACCACATTTTAGGACTTATGAAAGTAATGTCACCTATTACAGGACGCACGTATTATATTGGTGAATAGCGAAGTGCGTCGCATATTGTCAGGATAAATCTTCCGAATGAAACAGAGAAAAAGTATCTTCAGACCTTTTATTTAAATTGCGCGCTTCTATTACATTCTTTGTGTATCATACGCCTGTCAGAGGTCGTTCGTTGCAGTGCAAATGCGATGCTGCAATGGAAGCCGAATGTGTGAATGCGAATTCCGGACCTGGAGCTTGTGTGTTATATGTTGTGCTGTATGATTTTGGCAGCGTGTGAATGAAGGGTTGACCAATAGTTTACTTTAAATCTTTGTCACTGTGATATTCATGTGAGAGGTAGTTAATAGTTTATAAGCGTATTTACTGTGACAAGCTAAGCAAATGGATCCAGGAAGCAGAGGCATTTTGTATATAATTTTCCAGCTCGGCATTTTCTTGCGATTATTTGATTACATTTGTGTGAGTATTCGAAATAAATCCGGGAATTTCCTTAAGTAGTATCAGGCATAATTTTGTAGCCAAGCTATTGTGGCGTAAAATAAAGAGTTATATAGGAATGCACAATGCGACACTTCTCTCTTCTTTCACTCTTTGAACTTGTATGTCCTTGTAAACTGGAATATCACAGTTGACGTCATTTCGAACATTGTAATGTTGCGGTATTTTTTTCCTTTGTGCGTTAACTAGTCCATTGACTATAAAACAATCGTTGGGCAACATAAATACTGGTAAAAGTGTGATTTTGTTAGAAAGTTCCCTTCGACAACTATCCCAACCGAGTTCGAAGTAGGCCAACAGCGTAGGATTATGGGTGTCAGGCAGCGTGGTAGTGTGTGGTGGTCAGATGATGACAGTTCGTGAAAGTTACATGACGAGTATTGTGGGAACTTGAACTTGGAAGTCTTGCGTCTCACAGTTTCGAATACACGTCCATTACAACCATGGCTTTGCGGGCAGAAACTGTGCATGATGCGGAATTCATCCTCAAATCTCTTCTTGCTGGAGGTAAGTGTGTCTAGACCGCGCGAAACATGAATGAATGCGGAATGTTTGGAATGTGCGACATTCCTAGAGTTGCTGACCGAATTAACAGCTAGGTGACGAGCCCTTTCTTACCTCTCTTTTCATTCACGATTTTGCTTTTTGACATTTGGTAGATGCTATGAAAGCACTCTAAAAATACTCAACTTGTTTGAAATTCAAATGATTTTACGAAAAGTGTGTCACCCGTGCGTCAGCACGAATATTTACCCCATTGTTAAATCAAAGATAAAATCTCTTCATGGTCAGAAAGTCTTCACAAAATTTAGGATCAGAGAGGATTTTGTCTCCGAATTTTAGTACTCTTAACTATAATGTCAGGAGAGGAAAACTTTCTTAAACTCACAGCTAAATCCCTTCTTGCAGGAGGTGTGTACAATGCTGTTTGAAGTGTTAACTGATTGTGTGTATATTCCTTCAGTTATATGTGAATTTATTTGCTTTCTAGGTGTTGCAGGAATGTGTTCAAAAACTACTGTTGCACCTCTGGACCGAATTAAGATATTGTTGCAAGCTCACAACAAGCATTACAAACATTTAGGTCAGTGCTTCCTAATATATAATTCTTTATTCACCAGATATTTTATGAAAAAATAGGGAAAACACATTATATGTCAGTGTATATTTCAGAGGCCTTTTTTCCTGTGCTTAAACAGGTCTTCTTTCAAGAACATATTTTAGTGTTCTGAAGCTTTGACTTTGTGATGTAGTGCTTTCAACATTCTTCCAGATTTTCTGAAAATCACTTTTGTAGTAGATTCAAAACTGATTAAATAAGGATTTTCTTATTGTTTTCAGGTGTTTTTAGTGGGTTACGGGAAATAGTGGAAAGGGAAACTGTTTTGGCGTTATACAAGGGAAATGGGGCTCAAATGGTGCGAATATTCCCATATGCTGCTACCCAGTTTACAGCATTTGAATTGTATAAAAAGGTACGTATTATATTAAACAATTTAACATTACAGTTTGTACGTCAATGAAGTGATAGTTTTCTCATTCTGTCGTATTATATTGATCTATTATAAGTTTAGAAGAGAATGTTAAATGAGAAAGTAAGAAAAAGAAAGTAATGTTTTTCATGTATATTAAGAGAATTATAATAATTTTCTTTGTGGAATAATTTGATTTAATAGGAAATGCGATAAAGCAAAATGTTTTCAGTTTCTTCTTTCTGTTTTTCAAGCATAATTACTTCCATGACATTGTCTCATTACTGGTCCATCCATCTTCTTTGGTTTTCCAATATTGCTATTTTGTCTTGGTTTATACTTAAAAATCTGTTTGTTATTCAGGTGTTCTCCATTCTTCAGTGTCATATCTCCAAGGTTTTGTGTGTTCATCAATTTTTCTATCTAGGTAAAAAAATTTCTAGGTAGAATTGAATTTCGGCATTCTGGACCCTGTCTCTCTTTGTGATGTCAATGCAACCCTTTAAAATCATTTCAGAGTCTATTATACTTCTTATTTTGTGTCCATAGTACAAATTTTACATACATATAGTCTAAGAGGGACTGCTATATAGCTATGTTCAGGGGAAAGTTATAAATATGCCTCATGGAAAATATTGTAATTGTAATGATGAGGGGAAAACATTTAAATTACGAGTAAAGCTGCCCTAGTATTTTGGTGTGGTAATTTAAAGTTTAAGTTGTAAAGTACAGTTAATTAACTTTTTTTTAAATGGTTAGTATTACCTTCCTAAATAAACATTGATACTTGCTTATTTATTTTTACTAAACAATCAAGATTATTCAATTTACACCAAAAAAATATTGGTCCTGAAAATCATGGAATTATTACAATTTATAAAAAGAATGAATCATAATACTTACTAGTCAAAAGCAGCACCTTCAAAATACATGAAATTCAGCATTATCATCTTGAACTATCTCTGTTTAGGCTTAACAGCCTGTTATTTAAGAACTATTCGTAGTAGTCTTCCAGGTGTTCTGCTGTTACGACTTCTTTCGCGGACTTTCAATGTCTGTTTCCTGCTAGTTTATATTTCGATATTAGATTTGGCCTTCTGTTATTGTTCGTTCTTTTAAGGTCATCTTGCAATTTTCTTTGAGAGTTTTCTATTTTTTGTAAGTCTCTAGTTTTTAGTTTCTTTCTAATGTCTTTGTTTCTGCCTGTCCCTTCCTGTAACTCCTAGTAGGTGTCTCAGATATCTTATATCTGCTGCTTGTATTTTTTGTTTGTCTATTTCATTATCCATGTCTGAGCCGTACATTGCTGTAGGTTTAACCATTATATTGTTAATTTTTAGTTTTGTTTTTGCATCCACATCTCTGCCGAAGTAACCGTTAATTGTTCCACAGAATCTGTTGTATTTATACAATTTATTTTCTAAATCCTCTTGGTCTAGTTAAATACACTTATATTTCCAAGATATGGGAATTAGTTGACTTGTTCCACTATTTCTCCATTTATTATAATTTTGGCTCTCTTCTGTTCTTTGCCTTGCACGTTTTTTTAATGAAATTCATTTAATATAAAACAATAATAAAAATAATATAAAATATATTTCAGCCCACAGTTCTTAATGGATTTATTTAATAAAATTACAACATAATGGAGAATGTTGGTGGTATAGAATAAGCAAGTAGTTTTTGTGGTTTTGTGCACTGGAGATTTACTATAGGTGAAGAATACATTTGTTCTTGAGTAGAATTTCATACACATTATATAAATGCGTAACAATTATTCTGATTATTATGCCACCAATTATGTTATTAATTAAGGGAGCAACACTTGTAATACTTCATTTACCTGCAATATTGTAGTAATTTGTGCTGTGATTTATATATTTCATATACAATAATAATTCCTGCATTATATATCAGTGTACATTGACAATTGAAAAGGTATTAATAAACTGAAATTGTGGACATTACACTTACATATATGCTATGTATGTAGACACTGTACTGATTTTTTAAATTTTTTTTATTTTATTTTTTTTAGATGTTTTCTTCTGTACTTGGTAGCAACTCGCATGTCGGAAAATTCCTGTCTGGTTCTTCAGCTGGTGTCACAGCTGTGGCTTTAACCTATCCTTTAGATACAATCCGTGCTCGTCTAGCATTCCAAGTGACTGGGGAGCATGTGTACACTGGTATTATCCATGCAGCATCTTCTATATTCAAAGATGTGAGTGTAGCTCTATGTTTAACTGTTATACTCTATTTACTGTAATACTCTATTTATAGTATACTAGAAATATTTTATATGTACAATCCCTAAGCAATGTATGTTTATTTGGAATACCATACAAATTTCTATCTTCTGTACTAATGTATTTTATTTTGACACCTAGAAGATAGGCATATAAGAAATTTGTTTGAAAGTAATTGGCAATTAAACATGATTGGGTTCATACTTGTTTCATTTTAATATTCTATGAAATTTGGGATACATTGTATTACAAATATTGTATAATAAAGCTTACGATTTTTTTCAAAATTTATTGTTATTACCAGAGTGAAATTTTGCCATTTATAACAATCTAATGTACTTTCTTTGAATGTTAATTTGAACGTGAAAAATTTCTTTTTCTTGCTGCAGGAAGGTGGTGTCCGTGCACTGTACAGAGGATTTGTCCCCACGGTTTGTGGAATGATACCCTACGCAGGCTTTTCCTTCTCCTCTTTTGAAATGCTCAAATATCTGTGTATGAAGTACCTGCCGCGCTGGACTTGTCAACCATGTTCACGCAACACTGGAGGCCTTGTTCTAGTAGTACCTGCTAAACTATTGTGTGGAGGGCTGGCAGGAGCCATTGCCCAGAGTGTTTCTTATCCCTTAGATGTAACGCGGAGACGAATGCAGCTGGCCATGATGAACCCAGAAACTCGGAAGTTTGGGTGAGGACATTATAGAACCTAATATTTTTTTTTCTTCTTAATCCTAATTTTGTCAATTTCATCTAATAATTTTCATAAAACTGAAAGAATCAAATTAATTGGTTCCAAAATGAATATTGGTAAGTGAATACAATTGGTCCAATTGTGGATTTTTGTATTTGAAAAAGTTGAAACGCAGACCTTCTTTTTTTTGTTTTTACATTAAACACTAACACATCTAAAAAAAATTAAGGATAATTATTCTTCTGCTGGCAAGTGAAATGTTAAGAATCTTTCATAATTTGCTCTATGAAGTTTTGATCTTGAGTAAAGGAGGTAACTTAAGAAATATTTCCTCACTTTAGGTGAAAGTCTGCCACTTTCACTCAAGAGAGCTTGTTGCTTCCCTCCTACCTGTTACTGTACAAATACTTTTCATGATAAGCCATTCATAACTATTCTGGTTCAAGTGAAATGTAGAAAGTTAATGACTTTATGCAATGTTATTGAGTGCTAGATGTTTTGAAGGAGAAAGTGAGTTTGCAGAATAGTTTCTTAATTCAGATGTATCCTAGAATTGTTACACTGCAGCAAAAAGACATGTGTATTAATGATTTTGCATTGAAAGGAAGGGGGAAAAAAAGATTTTGGAGCACTTAATTGGAACATTTGCGAAATAAGAAAATGTCTTCACATTTACAGAAGAGTAGTTTAGAAATAAAATGAAAAGAATCAGATGTGCTATTAATCTTGGAAAAAACTCTTTTTGCATGGTATCTACATAAGCTGGAACACACATTAATTCTGCTTTTGCATTTCAAATTTTTTTTAAAAGATTTTAAATTATCCACAATTTTAATACTCATTTTGCCTAAAAGTTGTCATTTCTGTAGGAATTTTTGAAATTTTTGTCTATTTCAATTGTTTCAGAATAAATTTGTAATGTGCAAAACAATTTCTAATGAAGATTTCGAAATTATTTTGTTTTAGTAATACTAGTAGTAGTGTAATAGTTTGAGTTCTAACCATACTGAAAAGATTTCTGTTTATTTTTTAAATGCATTTCCTTGAATTAATTGGTTTCTAATGTTATGAATTGAACATTTTTTTTATTCTGATTCGATTAACATTCTCATGTCTATTAATTTTCCTTACTGTAGTAACATTTGCATATGCGATTAGTCCTTTGCATATTTCATTCACCCACTTCTTTGTTTAATGAATAATTACTAGATAGTTTGATTTTGAGACTTGTGAATAAGTTCTTCTGTCTGTTAAGCCTAAACTCTTGGAATGATTTAATAATATTCTTTTTCTATTTCAGACTTTCTGTTATTATTTAAAGTGGTTCTTCACTAGAGTAAATTTTTTTTTTCAAGAGCATGATTATCCTCCTTTCAGTAACTTTTCTCTATGCATTTTCAGTTGCTCAGAATTCTCTTGTAAAATTAATTTTAGCCTGCAGATTTCAGGGTTTATTAGTGATCTGAATGAACTTCTTCACTAACACTAGTTTTGTTACATGCTCTCTATACTGTGCTCTTCAAATGGTGCTGGGAATGCTGGTCATCTCAATGTAGACGGTATGTGTGAAGCTGTTAATCTGTTTCTGTGATATAACGTGCATGCTTTGAATCATAGCGTTCAGTACTGTCGTGAAGACTTAGTCCAGCAAGATATTATCTTAAGAGTATTTTCTGAATTTTTAAATAAAAATTTAATAAGCTATGTGAATAATAATTATATTATCATCATAATGATCATCATTTCTGGTAGAATAAAAGTATTGGGAACAGCAAAGCATATTATTTAGATTTTATTGGAAAAAAATGCCAGTGCCTGAAGAGTTAATTTTAAAATTACATCAGTATCAATACATTTGGTCACTTGTAAATCTTTAAATTTATGTGCTCTTTAAATATTACTTGATTTCTAGGTATTTTGATTAGTTAATAATGAGAGTTACAAAATTGGTTAGTGAATACTGATTATTAATGTAAAATATTTCATAACAAAAAACAAAATATCTGTATTTTTGAACAGATTATGAAAAGATTAGAATGAGAATTCACTGTTCGAGCTTTTTGAGATTTCATCGCCAATTTTTGGTATCCTTAAACAAATGTCATAGTGATATCTCTTAGTAGAGTTGCTTTCTCCAATTGTATTTAGATAATGTATTTAGCCAGGAGTGTGAAGAAAGAAATTGATGAACTCGATACATACTGTTACACATACACAAATACATACGTGTGTACATATGTATATACATACATCCGTGGTGATATACATGGCTTCAAAAATAAATTCATTCATTTTTGTCTTTATAATTACTTTTAATTTTGAGTGTTTTTTTTTATTTTTTATTTTTATTTTTTTTATTTTAATGGTTTTGTGTATTTAGCAAGTGTATTCTGTAATGTAATGGCTTTGTGATAGGAGCTTTTATTGCTGAGACTGAAGGAGAATACATACAAGGCTACAGGAGAATTAAATATTCTTATACCATCTTGTATTTGAATTCCATATTTGATATGTGGGTGTATTATCCCCTTAATATATTGTTTTAAGTGTGTTTGTTGGGAAGTATTTATTAACTCATCTTGTTAAGAAAATATTTGAGCTAATTTTATTACTTGTATTATCAGAAGGATATAAAGGTTATATGTTTGCCAATATATATTCATAGAAATAGTAGAAGAAGAATTGTTTGATTTAGCATTTCAACATGATTATGGTTGTTAGATTATATACAATTTGGGAGAACAAAGTTTATCATATTTGTTCTCTGCATTTAACAAACATGTGGTAGGAATATATATGTATGATAGATTTGGTCCTTTTTTATCAAGCACATTCAAATTGTTCATAACTTGTAATTGAAATGTCATCGGCATAAGATGTTAAATTTCAATCTGTAGTAATCGGAAAATCATTTAAATATCTCAAACACAGCAATGGATGAACCACTGATCCATGTGAAAAAACTAAGATTACTGAACGAAAGTTTGATTGTATTTTATCTATTGAATGTTCAGACTTAAAATATTACACTATATTGCTTACAATTGGTATGATTATTGGTTACAATCAGGTATGATTTTTGGAGTTCTTTTATGTCTTCTATGTCTTTTGTAAAAAAAAGTATTATATTTGATACTATATCAAAGGCTTTTTGATATATCTTTAAATTTACAATTATAGACATCTTGTTGTGTTAATTTTCTATGATTTTCTGGCTTAATAAGGTTTTGTATTATTTTGTTACAGAATATTTAAAAGTTTAATTTGAATATAATTAGAGATGCCAACTCATTGCTTATTTAATGTTTTGCTAGCTCCACCCCCATGTACTTTATCTGCATATGTGTTTACAATTGAAGAGTAGGGCTTTAAGCTTCATGTTGTTTCTATTTATTAACTAGTAAGTGAAAAAGGAAAGTCGTGCATTGAAAACCATTTATGCTTTTTTACAGCTGGATTTAAAATAGAAACTTCACTTTTTTCTGCGGTTCAGATATGATAAATTAGTGCAATTGATTGGACTTCTGATTCTTGCCAATTCTCTCATTCTTGTGATTTGTTTTTGTGTTATCTACCCTCTTCTAATTTTATACTATATTTTTCCCTCTCCTTGTGCATGATATTAAGATGAAACTGGAAATAATTTAACTCTTCAATTATTAATTGATGATTTCCTTTCTTTATTTCTATTCTTTCTTTGTAGGCATCCTTTTAGGCTAATATTTATTTTTTTTTGTTTAGGATTTTTTTCTGACTTAGTGCATGCTTCTACTATTGCCAAGTTTTTCTCTAAGAATGTATTAAAAGTTCTTCAGAGTAGTCATCTTTCATTCATTTTATTTATTCATTTTATGCCTTTTGAACGTTTTATATCATATTGGTAATTGCATATGCTAACTTTGAGGAAATTTTTGTGTTTATCGTATCAATTTATTTTATTATTCCCTGAATTCCATTTACACAATTCTTGATTTTTGTATTAACTGATTGCAGTCTGTACGAAACTTGTTTTATTTTGTTCATCTCAACAATCGTGTAACACATGTCCTGCCTCATGATCTCCTTTTTGGCCCATTGTGTCCTTTGTTTTTAAATTTTGTAACAAAGTCCTTATGTTACTTTGTTCAATGCACTTACTGGATAGTGGTTGGAATGTGAAATTGGAATTCATATCGCTTTTTATTATTGTTATTGAAGCAGATTGCAATGTGATTTTTGTGTGCGTTGCAGGATGGGAATGATCCAAACAATGAAACTCATCTACCAGGAGAATGGTGTTTTCAGAGGTCTCTATAGAGGTATGAGCATTAATTACCTGCGTGCCATTCCAATGGTAGCTGTATCGTTTTCTACATACGAATTGATGAAGCAATTTCTGAATTTGGATACTGGCATGAAATTGTCATAATTTTTTGAAGTTTTGGAATATTGGTGTATTCAAATTCCAAGTTTTGTTAATGTGTTAAAGGAAGTTATTTTTGTTAGGTTTTAGAGACTAGGATTGAGAAATATTTTCTTTTTCCGTTGTTCAGTCTTTCATTTCCTGCTAATAATTGCCAGTTTTAAAAATATATCTTTGCTTCAACAGATTTAGTTGAAGGTACTATGTAGCTCTATGTTCTTACTTAATATTCTGTGTATTCACAGTACTTCCTAGAAATGCATTTCTCTTACCTTTAATTTATTATTCAACATTTATTACTGGCCAATGTACTTGTTAAATTGTCCTAGTCTTTTACACTTTTTCTTGTTACATGATACCTTTCTACTTTTTATCTGAAGTTTTGTTGTATGTATTGTGTGATTACATGCACAAATACTCACATGTACATACAAATATGTCTATTTTTTTTAATATATATTCCTATTTGTGTTGAACTAAGGCCAGTATATACGTTTATGTTAAAGATGATGATCTGTATTTTGATTGGATTTCAATGAACGTAGGGGATACATTAGTTTTCTATAGAGACAAAAAAGAGAATTTATAGATGGCTCTTAAAATATTCCTGGAAAATGTTTGAAAGTTTAAATTTGTATTAAATCAGTTAGAGAAAGGAATTAAATTACAACATGCCATTGTTGTTGGTTAATTATAACAAATTTAGAAATATTTCCTTAGTTTTCATTTGTTTTAAAAAAATTCAGTTAAGTCAGCTTAAAAAGTAATTTGCCAGAATGAATTTTATACATACTATTACTAGAAGTTGTTTTCCCAAGACTGAATAAAAATAGCTAGTAATACTTTAAATGTCCTTTACTTGTAATTTCAAGTTTTAGGAAGTTGAATGGTTTTTAACCGGGAAAGGAGAGGAATTAAAGTAAGTCTGGTCTCAGTCAAATGCTGCTGCTAGAATTTGCTCTGTAGCTCTATGATTCTGATAGTGTTGCTTGAATTATTAAATCAAAATTATTGGATTATTCAATATCTTTGTATTTACTTTGAAGAACTTTTTCCCCTCATAAGCTTCTATATTTGTATGGGTGTGTGTATTTGTAGATGCATGCACAGTTTACGAATCAGGGTAAATTACTGCTAAGGTCACAGGATGTACTCAGGGATTCTTGGTTGAGTATGGATTGTATGCTTATGAGATTGTCATTGTGAGACAGATTATTTCTTATCAGTTTAAAAAATTTATTGAGTTTCTTCTGTTGAAGCCAGTACTCTAAAGTACCTTCTGTGAATTTTAGCAATTCATAAAATTATGTACATTACATATATTATGTGTGGGCATTTTAAATATAATCTGGTTTTACAAATATCTAGAATGAAGGTCAATATGAATTTAATGTAGGTAAAGGTTAAAAATTTGATGACACATCCTTATTTTTGAAAAGAAGAAGAAAAAAAAAATCAGAATGTATTTGTAATGTTATGAATATATGGTTGTAAGTTCAACATGTTCTTAAAACATTTTTCACTAACATGAGAGGTACTACAAAGTTTCATGTCATGAGAGTATTCTCTTTTGATGAATTCACTTAAGTGTTAGTTTATGTTAGTTGTGATAATTGAACCTAAGGAGAAATTACTTTTCAGATGTATGAAAAATAAATTCTAAAACTTCATTCTCCATTACTTCTGAATGAGACTCAGTTGCCCAATTTTGTGAGGTAGAGGAAATTTCTCTCTCTTTAGTATCTGAAAATCTTATTTAATATTATTATTATTATTATTATTATTATTATTATTATTATTATTATTATTATTATTATTGTTATTATGAAAATCGTATTCATATCATTTAATTCTGTGCAGTATGATATACATTCTGACAGAACAGATTTTCAATTTAGAGAAACTTGTCTTACCTCTAGACAAGTAAATCCTCTTAAATTCATTTAAAGGTCTCTTCATTCTAGGGATTTGTTACTTATTTCACTAGATTTTATGTGAATGCACATTTAATATTACAGTGCATGTACCAAAGTACATTTTGTAAACCAGTCTGTACCTACTTACTTCTATGTGATACAAAGGGTAGAATAGAAGAATATGTTGGGAAGAGAGAACATCATATTTTGATATGAAAGCGTTAATTATTGGCTGAAAGTGCAATAAGTTGTTATTGTTGATGGGATATTTTAGAAAGGCGCATTTATATGAAGCTGGATGTGGTTGTTTCTCTAAATTGCAAAACTTCGTAAAACTATCATTTAGTTTTTTCAGAAGTATAGTATGTGTTAATGACAATTCAAAACAAAGGTTGGTGATCATAAAATATATACATTACAATCAGTATTATTGTTAATGAAAAATTAGAATATAGGAATGGGTGTATTTATTGTGCTTATCAAATACTTACTTTGGTCACATTTTTATTCATGACTTGTTTTAATAGGTTTTTTTCATGGCAGGGCATTTTAAACCAAGACAGAATTTTCAGAAATTGTGCAAATCCTCAGCTACTATCTGTAGTGTAACAAGAAGATTAATAAATAACATTAAAATGTCTGTTTTTATTGAGATAAACAATCGTGCTGTTCGCACCTAAATTAATTCCAGGTGTAATTATAACTATATCGTTTAAAATCATTGTATCTTTTAAAGACAAGAATTGCTGTTGACAAGTTTAAGAAACTCTGCTGTGCTTTCGATCATTATAAATTTATGGGATATATAATTATATATTTATATTTATCTGCTAGAAAAATTGAGTCTTCCTGTACAAAATAAAAACAATTATTTGAGTAATATGGTGTACCTGTTATTGGTTGTTGTAAAATTTCAATTGTGTATTGTATTGCACGTTTACTAATAATTGTAACATAATTAAATTTTGTTTCATCTATATAGATATTATTTTTTAATAACATATTTTGAGATTTTTATCAAATTAGAAAATATAATATTTTGATACACTCAAAAACTTTGTGAAGGTTTTGCTGCACTTTTTTATTATCTGCATTGTGCTCGGAGAGTTGCTATTGAGTAATCAACCCTGTGAAATACAATGTAGGGGGCTGAGTGTTCTGGGGAGAGCAGTTCTGTTTCGGAGTAGAATCTAGGAAATGGCACCTGGATTGAACAAAAGTGATTACTAAAAGGCCATTAGGTTGTGTGGTTCAAGCACTTGTTTGAAAAGTGTGTATTCCTGTCAGATAGAGGTTATTTTTCATTTCAAAAAATGTTGTGTAGGAGATCCTCTTGATATTAGAGAATGGCGAGAGGGAGTTGAGAGAAGAATGAGATAATAATTTTGTTTAGCAGTCTACAGTTATTACAATAATTTCATTATGAAATGTTAACTAGAAAATAATAATTGCATATTGAAACTCTGAAAGAAGTTTCATTCCTGACATTTAGCTCTCTGTCGCAATCAGTCACAAATTTGCTTAAAAGTAGAAAATTAAGTTTGTGTACAATGAGTACTTATAGGCATGTATTACAGAATTTCATTTTTTTTTCATGTCTTTATTTGTTATGACAATTGTTTCCATGAACAAACTTTATTTCAACTGTTAAGATTTTTCATTTCATAGATTCATAATATTGTTATTGCAGAATAATTTTATTATGTTCAACTTTCTAGAATGGAAGTAAAATTTTATGATGCAAATGAAACACATTGCATTCAAAACATTTTTGCTAATGTACAAAGCAGTGTCCAAGAGTTTTATTATCTTTTTGCTGTAAACCATTAAGGGCAAATAAATGTATATTCTCTTTACTGCAATCTTAAAAGCAACTTTAGATATGGTTCTGGAAATGTAATAAAGAATAATTTTGTACTTCAGTTTTTTTTTAATCCCTCTTAACCTTATAATAACTAAAGATTGGATGATACATGTCAGCGATTCACTACATCAAATGCTTTTATATTTTATTCTTATGGTTGTGAGAGTAGTGAGCTAATATTTACTCATGGTCTTCTATGTCATTGCAAACTGTGATTTCTAATACTTAATATAAATCATAACCATTCTGAAAATTAACAGAGAAAGTGTCATTGAGTAAATGCTAAGGGGCTGTATGTTTGAGGCACCGTCACGCTTCATTACTTGGTGGGAGATACCTGTTTGGGGGAAATGAGCTAGTGTGTGTAATAAGAGAGGAGGGGACATCCAGGAAGGAAAGATCGTGGACGGTCCGTAGCTCGTTTGTTAGGCAACCCGGCATCTCCCACCAGTGGGGCACCGCCCCAGCCGGGACAAGTTCTAAGCTCCCGACCGGTCTCCATGCATGCATTCATGGTAGTGTAGTGCATGTAAGAGTGTGAACAAGAGGTGAGAATAGGACGAAGTATGGGAAGGAAAATCGCGCGCGGTCCTTGGCCCGTTTTTCGAGTACTGCTCCGGCTTTCGCCTAGTATTGTTTGGAGAAACCCCGGAAAACGACCGATAAGTGTGGCCGGTCGCTACAATTTTCCTCCAGACAGTGACAAAACTCAGTGTCGAAAATACTGCCTCCGTCGGGACGTGAATCCCAGTACTTCCCGGTCAGAGGCCTCTCCTGACAGGTGATGCTATGCCCCGTGCTGCCGGGTTCTTCCGGTAACCCACCAGTTGAGCCGCTGGCCCCACGAACTTCGGGCGAAGGGCTTCTTCAGGATCAGCATCCCACATATAAAATTCCACACGAGGAACATAAACCCCCAGTCAGTTTTTTTTTTAATTTAATTTTTTCATTTATTGTGTAGGTTCTGGCCTTAGCTCGCGTGCCCTCCAGTTTGCAGTTTGGTACTAGGCTTCGTCGGGGCAGTGGTCTGGTACTCTGTAAGTGAAGGAGGGTCTTGTCCCGGTGCATTGTACATGACGCATTGTTTCGACTCTGGTGCTGGCCTGGAGAGACAGTAGCTGTGAGGTGGCAGGACGGCTCTACCTAGGCACTGGATTGGGAGGTTTCGGAGAGGGATAACTGCGATTGGCTGGTGCCGGATACCAATAGACGAACGCGTGCGTGTCGGCCGCAGGGAGTGAGAATACAAAGGGCAAAAGCCTAGGTGTCCACTCCGGAAATTAATCCTCCTGGTAAAAGAGGTGTGGGGTAGTAACCCGCGCAGAGTTCAATCTTAATCATTACAATGGGTCTTAATCGAAGAATGAAAGCGTCCGTGCCCTTTGCGGAACTCAAGGCCTAATGCAAAGTGATCGCTGCTCTGATTGGAATTCTGGAAGAAAAATTATCTTATAGAGATATGGTAAAGAAGTAATAAGAGGGTAAAATAGATCAGTGAGGGTAACGCCGACCACCACTTCTTAGAAATTTAATGATTTTTACTGTTACTGATGATAATTTCGGTTTGTTGGTAACCCTGAATATAAATTAACATAATTCATTTATGTTCAAGGTTACACCGAAATTGTCATCAGTAACAGTATTAATATGTAGAATTTTAAAACAGGGCTACATGATCGAGGGTATTCTCAGGGCAAGCCTGAGCTACTGGGCTAGTCGCAGTTGGCGGATAGCGAATGGTCTCTTGATGTACACACTAGGGACAATGAAGGCAGTGTTTCTGGAGTCCCCCGGACCCGTGCGGCTAGGAGAGTGTAGTGTTGGAGGGTGATCTGTGGCGAGATCACATTAATTAAAAAACACGGAAACTCTACCTAGCGACATGGCGAGGAAGTACCGCCATTAAATAAGTGCTGCCCTCGCTGCCTTGTGGCTAGGGATTAGACTAAAGGCTAAGGAAAGAAAAACCCTGCCAGACAACCATGGGTAGAGAGAGCTCTGGAGGGTGCAAAGTCAATCTCTCTTGAGTAAACCCTATATAAATCTTGGCCCCACAGTTTGGGGGTTGGTCAACAATCCATACCGTCAAAAGATCACTATTCAGAGACGTGAAAATAATAGCCGGAATGATAAAATAAGACGATCAGGCAATCTAAAAAAGAAACATGACTTATATTTTGGTATGTGCAATGTATTATCTCTGAATAGGATTGGAGATCTGACTAAACTTTTCGAAGCCTTAAAGAAATGTAGAGTAGATATGAGTATGCTAGCCATGCAAGAAATGAGATGGAAGGAAGGAATAAAATAATGTGGAAGGTATATTATTTGTAAAGGTTGTGCAACCAATGCAAGTAGCCAAGGAGTGGGATTTGCTTCTAAGAAAGAACTACTAGGAGGTATTATGAATTTTAAATTGAAGAATTTAATAGTATGTACGCTAAGATTTAGAGAAAAATTCTGTAACACAACGATTATTATTACATGCTTACATGCCCTGACGGAGGACAAAGATGAAAATGTAAAGAGTTCTTTTTTTGATAGTGTGGATAGAATATATAAGGTAAATCCTAAATTTGATGTTAAGATATTATTAGGAGATTTCAATGCCCGAATGGGGAAGGATATGACTTATGCGCCGCATTTAGAACAATATAGTATTCACGAGGAGAGTAACGATAAAGGGAGAGAGCGGTGGGATTTGCAGTGTTAAATAATCTTGTCATTAGTGGTACGCTATACTCACGCAAATAAATCCAAAAGAGGATTTGGTTAACGTCAGATAAAACCGTATATACGCAGATAGACCATATAATGATCGATTCCCGCCATAAAAGTAACATTTTGGATGAACATTGAGAAAACCAGTCTGTGACTCAGATCATTTCCTTGTGAGAGCTAAATATAGACAAAAAAATATCTCTGAATATAACAAAGAAAGATGACAGTATCGTTAGATAGGACTTATATTTAGTTGGTATGGAAGATAAAGTAATGAGTAGGTGGACAGAACATTTTCATCAACTTTTGAATGGAGGAAATCAGATAATCCAACAGGATAAGGTTAATGTTTATAGACCAGACCTTGAACGTAAAGAACCCACAAGAAAAGAAACGTATACAGCTATCAGAAAACTGAAGAAGAAGAATAAGGTCCCAGGATTAGACGGTATAGCCACAAAATGTATAAAAATGGGATCCAGAACTTTGTGAAAGAATGTGCATAATTTAATATGTAGGTTTAGATTTAGATTTATTTAGTCAACCATCGCCCAAAAAACTCCAGCAAAAACTGTATGTGACGTATGTGGGAGAAGATTATCTGCGCACGTTTTCTTGAGTTTCAGAATCCCTTCCCGTCATTTTAACTATAGTTGAAAGATAAGAAAAAGTTTAATATAAATAAAATTAAAAAATAGCAAGATAAGCAATATTTTAAAAAAATAGAAATTTTCGTTTCCGAGTTATAGAGAACTTATTTGCATCGGTAAACGAATTGCAAGTATGATTTTTCTGCATTTCTAACAAAATAGTAACTCGCCCTTACCTCTACTCTTACCATTACAAGCAAAAGGAGAGTACAACAAAACGTGAGCATAGTGAAGCTACATTTACGTCCAGAAGCAAAACAAGGGGCCATCTCAGCATTTGCTCAATGGATCAGGGAAACTGGACAAAAAGCTGATCGAGATGGCTATGGGATGGAGATGTATAATATGAAGAGAAGAAAGAATATCAAAAGATCGGCAAATTCCATTTAAAACCCTATATATAAGAAACGGAATAGAATAGAATCCAATAACTACAGTGGTATAGTTTGTTTAGTACCGTTTATAAAATATTTTGAACAATTCTAGTAAAGCTAAGAAGAAATTATGATAAAATCGTAGGGGATTGGCAAAGCGGCTTTAGAAAGAGCAGAAACGTATTCAAACTTCTTTCAAATTCAGTCAGTTTTCATACATCTTGTGTGTTTTTTGCTAATGCTTATTTTCGTCTGCGATATGGCTTAATATTCTGGAGAAACACATCGTATAGTTCTCATACTTAGAAAATAATTAGAAGAATAATTATTACCCACGTGATTGCTGTAAGCTGGCTGCGAGTAGCTTTTTTTCTCTGTACGGGAATGTTTAAAACCTTCAAGGGGAGTCGAATCAAAGAATTAAAGAGTGAAGATTATCGCAACCCGGTCTGAATGGAGCGTAATAAAACTTTCGGGAATATTTTCTGGTCCCATTTTATTTTTTGAAGAACATTTCAAAATGTGAAAATCTTAAAGGAAGCTCTTGTTATGGATTACTATTTATTCCTTGACAAGACGAAGTTCTATTCCAGCAGGTGCCTTCAAACCCTCTAGGAGGAAAAGACCCCGTCAATTAGCATGCTGCCGGTGGGTTTCTCTTTATTAAGCTAAGAATACGTCCATTGCACTACTTTATTTACAAATCAGTGTTTTTTTTTCAAAACGGACTTTCTCAAGATGGGGGGAGCATATTTTGCATATAACTGTTAAATGCAATGAGACCAATTAGTTGAAATTGCATGTAACTACAGTATATGCAATTTCCCGCTAAATGGTCATTGGTAAAAAGTGATTATTTTCGACCATTCTCATGCCATAGAAATGTGTAACATTTATTCAAACTTTCAAAATAAACGAAAAAAAACAAACTAATACAGTAAAACCTGGACCAACGACCACCTCGATTAACAGCCTTTTTCGGAGCAACCCATAGATTTTCTGATCAGAGACGTGTAAAATTTCCGTTTGATCTCCCACATGACCAGGTGTCCAGGCGTATTCCCTAATTGAACTTCAGTAAGTGGTCACCTGCAATTATTTTGAAGTGTGCTACGGTTGATTGAGTGTATTCTTGCGTCGGGACACAGTGTAAGATTACTTAGAACAGTGACGTCTAGAGTCGATTATTTTAATGAATGTCTCTAGCAAGTAACAATGCGTGATCTTCACCCATTGTGCATACATTCTCAAGAAGTTTACAGACCTTTACTGTTCATCTGTGGTATCTCATGGGTGTTGATGCTAGCCAAGAGGAGGGAAGTGATCCTAGAAAATGAGAAAAGGGGTTTCTGAAAGAGAACTTGCTGAAATGGCAGAGGAAGGAGGACACATATTCATGAAATTATTAAAAGATGGAACACCTTAAGGACGCCTCAAACCTTTGCATCTGAAAAGAGATGTTAACTTGTTAAATAAACAACTCAACAAGACTTTGGTCAAAATGTGAATAGAATCAGTGCATGAAGTACGGATTTGACTTTCTTTAATAATTCATATGTAGATTGTGTAAATTGTATATTGTAGTTAATGTTATTAACATGATTGTACGGATTTCTTGGCAATCAAGAATTAGACATCAGGTAATGCACTCTTTCCCCCTAACGGTGCAACGTTGATTAAGCAGCCACCCTTGTTAACAGACAATTTTCGCTGGAACCATTCGTGACAGCTTATCACAGGATTTACTGGATCCCTAATTCATTGACCCACTGTAGACTTACCTATATACTCCACAATAAAATGGAAGTATGTAATGAATAAAAATAATAGACTCGTTGTTTAGAAAATATCAAGATATATCTATTGGCTGGATTTATTTTAAGAAATAGGTAAATATATTCATAATTGACTATACATAAAAAATAACGTTCACAGTTCATGTAAAATAGTCATTGGGCATCAGCACTCTTCAGGCCACTTTGGAACACAAATCTACTCACACAAGCGAAAATTAAACATTTTATTTGGGCGAAAACAGAAGAGTACGAAATTCAGAGTACTGATTGGAGCACCTTTTTTGTATGTTGCACTCATTATTTTTCTTGCGAGTTTGTAAACAGAAATTCTTAATTACAGTAATGATTAGCGCACCATCCAAAACCACTAATTTTCCAATCTGGGATATAATTCACTTTCCTGGCACATTTCTTCTTGTGTAGTAGTACTTGCCTCGACATTCCGTGGATGTAGGAATGTATTGCAGCTACTCGGTGGGGAATTTTACAGAAAAAACTTAAGTTATATAATTAATCTTAGTGATTTAAATACGTTTGTCTCACCGCATTACTTAATATTATCTACAACTTCAGTTATTTATTGAAGTCGTTTATACACTGGATCATTTCTAGGACGATGAAAACATTAAACATGATATTTATTTCTTTAGATTATTTTTTTTGTAGAAAAATAATACTTGAATTGTCTTAGACAAATCGGTAAATTATTTTACTGTTAATTTAATGGAATTTAAGTTCTTAATTTAATTCAATTAAAATTTTCGGTGCAAATAGTTGACATTTTTTATTTGAAATAAGAACGAACCAAACTAAGAGATAGACTCCGTAGTAAAAATTTTGGAGTAATCAAAGTCAAAAATTCGAAGAAGAAAAATTAAGCAATTCCGTTTCACTGAATATTTTCATGAACTGTATTGAGGTTAAAATGTGTCGCTTTCTGTGTTTCGTATCTAAAACTCGCAGATCACGAATTTAATTTGATAAATTCGATTTGAATGTCAATTTGAAGAGTGCACGTTTCTGTTCAACTTGCACAATGCACGAGTTAAAAATCATTTGAGAATTTAATTGTACATAATTATTGAAAGTCTTACTATTTACGTCCAAATTTAGAAAGAACTCATCATTTCTGAATAGCAATCGCTCAATAAGTTTCAAAGATTTGTTGAATCTGACCCCTTAATGTGCTGTTCATGTCCTCTCCAATCAATCCTCTTCAAAGGCACTTGGGGGACTGTTGTTCCGAGTTGCTCAGCACGTCACCTTCAGGCACTGTTCACTAGTCCTCGCGTAGAAGCACCGAACATGCAACATTCGGATCCTTCGAATCGGCGACACAGACTCCAAACATACGTGATCCCTCCAACTGGCTTCCCCCGAACTCCTCGCGCGGGTTGGCTGGTCAAGGGCGTGCGGCGGGCGTGTCGCGGGGGGTTGGTGCGGGGCCGGGGGGGGGGGGGGAGGCAGCTCAGTTCCGAAATGGGCGCGCAGCGGCACACGCAGCAGGACGGGAAGAGGAACCAGTCCATGAAGATGCCCTTGCAGTCGTTGTCGGGGTCGTAGGCCAGCAGCCGGTGCCACTTGTACTTCTGCTCGCAGCCGCAGTCCCCCGCGCAGCGCTTCGTCTGCACCTTCCTGCTGGCAGAAGCAGAGCGCGCCACGCCCACAATAATTACCGCTCGCCAGTGAGGAAAAACCTTTCAGTGTTCAGCTGATCGTCTGAGAAAGTTAGTTTCGCATTTGAGTAAATTTTTAAAACCTATAACAAAAGCTATCACTATTTTGAAATGAAACGTTTTTACCAAACAGCGATGATGTCAACAATACTCAAGAGTAGTTTGTATGAAATAATTATATGTGTCGCCATTGTCAACAATAGTGTTTATTGCAATAGCAGCTTTCGAAGGCTTAGCCATCATCATCAGTTTTCTTCTGAAGCTGTTATTGTTGGCAATGACGACTCATAATTATTTCATTGTAAATGCCAACGATAACTCACCACAATACCAATCGTAGTTTGTATGTTTTGCCCTCTTTTCATACAGCTGTTGAGAAACTACTGACTAATGCCTTCATATGTTTTAAGTGTCTCACAAAAACGTTATCTTTTATAACATTATGGGCCTGCTTGCGACCCACAAGCTCACGCACGTTTAAAGAATCGTTGGCAGCAGTTCGTGTTTTAGTTTCTGTAAGAAGGCGATGAAGCAGAGCGCGCCACCGTAATGGTTTTCACCACGTTATACGAGAGTTGTAGGGGGTTGGGATACTCACGAGCAAACCTCCTGGTGGATGGCCTGCTCGAAGTGCTGTGTGTTGACGATGGCGCGTACTTTGCCCGCGCTGTTGGACGCCCAATACGGCGTGACGATCTCCACCTTGCTCTCGCATGCGTCCACTCTGGAACACGCGACGGAAGGCGTCAAGCATCGTAGGAAAATCTGAACATGAAACTCAAATAGCAGTTTACAAGTTAAGTCAGGTTGCTAATCAGTATGGTGTGACAATCTCACCAAATAAAACAGTAGTGAAGGCATTTAAAGGACTTGAAACTTTAAGAGCAAAGGTAGTTGTTGATGGCCAAATAATTGCAGAAATTAATGAATTTAAATATCTTGGATATCATTTTAATTATATTTAATCAAGAGATATGGAAATAAACCTGAACAATTTCACATACTTCTGTGGAATAGTACAACGAACTATAAAGCATAACGTGCAAAAAGAAACTCTTCGTAAATTTTACAAAGCTATTCCCTTGTCATTACTGCTTTATGGAAGTGAGGGTTGAAAAATTGGAGGGTTGGACATTAACATAAAATCAGTTTCGTAGAATTGAATCTGAAAAAATGAGATTTCTTCGTTTGGTGGTAGGATATTCACTATTAGACCACAAACAAATTGCATTTATCAGAGAAAAGTTAAATATTGAGCCTGTTATAGATATAAAGAAATATCGAGAAAACTGGAAATGTTATGTCCTGAAAATGCCAAAACATAGGATGAGATTAGAAAGAAGTGTAGGACGTAGAGATGGCATGAACAATTTCGAGAGGGAACAGGTCAAGAGTTCTAATTCTTGCTGTCGATGATGATGATGAACGCGTCAAAACTCGTACATATTCAGGGTGAGAGTGAATTGGTATGAATATAACAAAACCAAGCATGAATGAAGCGTGAATGAGTGAAAGAAAGAAAAGAAAATTAACCAAGAAAACAACGAAAGAACATCATTTTGTATTAAGAGAAAAAAGTCAAGTAAAGTTTACCAAAGAGAGTAATATTAAATGTACAATTAGATTAACAATACATCTAACTGCTTAAACCATTAGGTGGTAGCGCAATGTAACCGATTGATAAAAAAATACCACCTTCACAAACGTACTGTGGAGGGGAATAGGAAAAAAGTATTTACGTCCGGAAGGAAGTGCAACCTTCGCTTTGAATAGGAACTTGTCAGGTCTCGAAATACTTTTAAAAAATCCAAATAGTTTTCAAGAATGTAAAAAAAAAAAAAACGTTTCTGAAGGTTGTTATAGAAGTGCAAAGTTTAATCTATAGCTATTAAAGGGCGTGATATTCTTTGTTATTAAGATGAGTCTTTGCTTGGAACTTTGAATTTTAAACCAATATTTAATGCACATGCAGCTAGTTTGACATAACATATAAAAACATTCTTCATATTTATGTTCTGTGTGAGTACGATTGAAAGTGTTGTATGTACTTTCTTGAACCTTTGAAGCGGTCATGATCCGTAAAATTCTCCTTTAGATGTACCCCTGGAAGTATATTATCTGGCTGTCGACATTTTTGCCCATAGATCTTTCGTTTCATGGGTCGTTTTAGAAGTGGCGTTGCCATGCTCTAACATACCTTTGTAGCAGGTGGAAAGTTATGAAAAAGTCTTGAGTCAGAAGAATTCTGGATCAATGAAAATATCTCATTAGCCCAAGAAGTGCGTTGCGAATATAAATTGGGGCAATGTTAATAATCTGATCGTTTTAGGTTTGCATCTTTCCTCAAGCCTATAGGAAAAAATATTGTTTATTACATCTCTGTGAAGGCGAGAGACGATTATTAGATAGTTCGTGTTCATTTATAAGTCAATTTTGAGGAAATTACGAAGTAACTTCGAAGTAAACGATTTACGAAGTAAATATTAGTTTAAAATGTTACCTAATGTAAATACTATAGGCTAGAAATTACAATTTTATTGAAATTTAATTTTAATGTTAACATAATTTAAAAATGACTGGTATGTTTTTTTTTATTTTTCAGACATTTATATTGGTATATTTGTTCATAGTGGGAAAGATTTAACACAAAACAATTCTTTCAAAGAAGAATGTCATTTTTTTTAAAATTTATTCGGCTATTCAATGAAGAGTCTTTGCCTCATTCTTCACATATGCAGAGAAATTTTGCGTCACGAGCTGAATCACATTCAGAATGTCCATACGACGTCCGCTGAACGATGATGAGACAGCCACTTAAACTAGCTGATAAGATCATTTAATATCTTTGGAAGCTGGAGCGCACGAATGACTTTGATGAACTGGTGATGTTGTAATATGAATGACGTTGGATTGGAGAATGAAGTGCCGCAGATCCACTTTACACACCACAAATTCCACACGGATTGCCCGGGAATCGAACCCGGACGCCAGCCACGGCAAGCGAGCAGTCTGACCGGTACGGGTCGCCTTCAAACTACCCGATAGTAGAGATCGGCCGCCAGATATTCACCTAACGAGCAAGCTTTATATCTACTCATACCACGTACAGGATTTCCGGCACTCCCAGAGCGCGCCGGATTTAATTTGCCAAGAACGTCTGGCGGCATCTCTCGCCACGCGGCTCGCTTTCCTGCCGCCGGGGTGCTGCACCGCGTGGGGGCGAACCCGTTCCTTCGGTGTCTCGCTGTCTCGCAGCCCGGATGCCCCGGCAGGGCGCGGGCGGAGACGGCGCCCGGAAAACCGTGACGGCGACAATTAGCGCGATTCCCGGATCTGATTCGTACGGTTCCGGTTCGCGAGAACGCGCTTACGTCACCGGTTTCTGCGTGCGGCGCGACAAGCGCCGGCGGATGACCTCGAGACGGATGCGTCCGGGAATCGAACCCGGCCGGCGGCGACGACGACGGCGGAGCGGAGCAGGGCGGACGCGGCGGGGCGGGGCGGCGGCGCGGGGAGCGGGCGGGGGCGAGCGAGGGTTTTCCCAGTGCCGCTCGGGAAAGGTTCCGGCTTTGCGGCAGAGGCGGAGAGCAGCCACGCACGTGCTTCACGCCAAGGAAACCACGCGGTTGGCTCCTTGCGAGAAATATCGAGTAATGAAGACGAGTCGGGGCTGAACCGTTAGGGTAGGATTGGCGTCTTGAAGCAGGAACATCGCGTCCCGTTTTTTATAACGTTTTCTATGACCACTTGGTTGCGTTTTGGTTTAGGAAAGAAATGTGAACTTATAAAAATATTTTACTCCATAAATAAGCAGTTCCGCCTCACTTATTATTATCGTCGTTGATTTAATAATGTACCAAATAAACAATGGAAGTTGTTCTCAATATTTATTAAGTCGTGGTCATTTTTGTATGAATTGGAACTGTAGTGTTTAAATTTTCAAGGGAGATGAGGACAATCGGGTACTTGCATTTTTTGCTGGTGGATATATTCGGTAAAAATTTACAATGTTTTGGAATTTGGTCATTTGCAGTTAGGAAGGCATATAAATATTCGGGAAAGCTTCTGGGATTTTCGAGGAAAGTTTCTACTTGAGGTGAATGTTGAAAGGAAAAATTCAGAGAACTTTCATAACCCATGTGTCATGTAGAATGGAACAAGTCTCGGGATCGAAAATTCAATTGAAAAATCCGTACTACGTCGTTAATGGACACATGTATTTCATGATTAGTTACATAGGAATAAAGGTTAACTTTTTTGTCACATATCACTTTGATGTTTAATCGAAAATCGAAGACAATAGTTGAATTATACTAGAACGAAATGTTTGGGACGAACAGGCTATTAATTAGCGTATAAGTGGAATAATGCTAGTTTTAAATTTTCTGAGAAATAGAATGTCCCGAATCGTTTGAAATGATTTCGTTGGACCTCAACCAGTATTGCACTGTAATGGTGTTATTGTTTAGTTTCTTTAAATTACTGGGATTGAGAATTGTGTTTCATAGCATCTGCATCTGCTCCGACTCCCGTAGGCTAGATATAATCTCGATGTGATGAAACTGCTGGCGAATTTTCTTGGGGGAGGGGTATTATAAGTGTGTTGTCCTACCGACGTAACTATTTTTGAACTTGTGTTATCGACATTTGGGTGGATGGGGGCCACTGAAGCTCTACCTCCCTCTCTTGGTTGCGCCACTGTAAGAAACTAATCTCGTCAAGAGAGCTAGTTGATGAATTTTACATTTTCAATGAAAAAGAAACATAAGTAAAACAAGACCACCCAGATGGCAAATCAAGTTTGTGTTTTGGATTAAATGGATGACAATCGTTTGTATCAATGATCATTGTTTGATTGGGTACTGAGTTTTGAAGTGTATACAGAAAATAAAATTAAAACATATATTGTAGCTTCATATACATGTAATGCAGCGAGAGAGAGCAAATAAAGCATGTTCAAATACACCCACAGTTTTAGATTTTCGTCAGGATCTGCTACTATTTTGAAAAGTTGATTCAACTTCAAGCGTGACAAAGATAGACATGACACCTCTCGTAGGAGTGACTGAAAATCGGAAAGTCAGAAGCTTCAAGATTCTCTACTACACGTTTACTGGATAGCTCCCATATAAACTCCAACCACAGAAATAGATATTACCACGAATAAGAGTAATTGCTTGATACATAAACACATAACGAGTGAGGGAATAAATTAATAGATACAGTAATTAGTTAATTAATAGAGAATGGAATAACAGAACGGGTTCGAGATCGGAAGAGTGAATGAATTGAATAGTCATTGCTATCTAGTGAATGAGCAAACGATTGAAAACGAAAATGAATGAAGCAGTGATCTAATGAATAAATGAACGATGAAGTAGCGAAGAAAAGAAAGAAAGTACGGTGATGTATCAACTGCTTTATGGAGTATCAGATTCTGCGAAATATTACTTTACTGTACAATATTAGTTTTGTGCTGTGTACAATATTATGCTTGTGAAAACTCTAGGCTTTTTCTTGGGGGGGGGGCATGTCTTCCAACCCCGGGATCATCCAATGTTCGGAGAATAAGTCTACCATCAAATGATTTATTGCACGAGATATTTTTGAATTGGGGAGTTAAGTAATCCCCTTTGACTTCTTTTTTTATTAAGGTCGCAACAACCTCTAGGTCATTAGCGACCTCTATTGCATGTAACGGTATGCTAACCGAGAGGATGACATGATATGGTGATGATGGGGGGTGGGGGGTGAAAGGATGAATACAAATACTGCCACGCCGGAGCTGGGACTCGAATCCGCGATCCTTCGGCCCGAGATCGCTATGGCATCACTGCCTTACCGATCTCGGCCATCCGGACCGGCAAGAGCATTTTATTGATCATTCCAGGCTGTGTTGTCGGTCGTCTAAACCCGCATCTTAGCAATCACTAACGTTGCTCCGTTGCGCGATAGGGGGTGACAGAACGAACACTAATACAACCATGCCCGAGACGGGGCTCGAACCCGCGACCCTTCGGCCCGAGATCGCTACGGCACTACTGCCTTAACGATCTCGGCCCCCTTTATCTTCGTGTCTCCAAGATGCATTGTTTGCCTCACCGGGTCTCGTTGCGCTGCTGCGCCTGTCGGCGGCCGCGGAAGTAGGAGTCGCCGGCGGCGGCTGCGTCAGGGCGCGCGGCCCGCGCGCCGGACCGGCCGCCGTGCCCCCGCCGGCCGCCCCTGCCGCCGCGCGCCGCCGCTCGTAGTCCGCCGCCGAGCCACGGCCGCCCCCGCCGACGGAGGCGGCGGCGGCGGCGCGGCGAGAACCCCGTACATGCGCTTCATCAGCGCCTTATTCTCGTCGATGAACAGCTCGATGCGCTCTCTGCAACACACAACGCACTCTGTTAAAGGCCTATTCACAATGCAATGTTAAACATATAGCAAACTGCATAGACGTAAACATTAACATAAGTGATAGACTGAAGTATGCACAATGTCTAACATAAAATTAAGCAAAATAAGAGTTTCTATTGGCTGTGAGATATTTAAATTACAATTGGTTGGATGTGAGAATCGATTTGTGGTATCGACTGTGTCCATGGTCCATACGACGTTAGTTCGTCTATCGACTTCACTTCTATTTCGATTATCGATTTTGTGTTATCGTACTGTGATTGGCTGATTTCTTATGTCTTACTTAAGCATAAGCACAGAAGCTTGAAGCTTGTAAGCTTGTAAGTTAACGTCTTACGTGTTATGCTTGTGCGAAGGCATTGTGAATGAGTCCGCTAATGGACATAGTCCTAACTTTTATGTTAACGCCATGCTTATGTTTATGTCTACTACTCATGCGACTACAATTACGTGCAAACAATAATAACTGGCTGAAACCTTGCGAATGCGTCGCCTAAAAGAGTAGACAAGTTTTACAACAGAAAAGTACTACATATGTACCTTACGGAAAATCGACGATTCGAAAAACATTGTTGCATATTGTTTTGTACTTAGTATCCAGGACTTATGAAATGGAACTCTTACAAATTCTGGTACGTTATAATCATTATTCACTGTGAAAACATACACATATTGCTGCTTCGCTGCCTGGGAGAAGCCGCGTCTTAGGCACAGGTTCAAACGTTATTTCATGTTGATATGTTCATGTAGAGATCGATCACAGGAAATCCTACTATTCACCGTGACTTAAAAACGTAATGCATCACAAATTTGCAATATAATCACTTCGCATTTTTGGAACTTTGACGTTGACACTTTTACATTAAAGGGAACGTGTATCAGACGATTTGTGGCTTTTCGTGTACATATGATAAATTTGAAGAGATGATTAAAAACTAGGGTTATTATTAGGCTTATTAATAGGAAGCAATAGTACATTAAAGACGTATTAATAGGAAGCAATAATACTTCTGGTACCCAAAACCTTTTATTTGAAGCAAAACGTATTAAATTTAGTTGAATTGAAAGTTTAAATTTATTTCTAAACGAAAACCCTAATGTTTTATATATATAAAGAAAAAATAATAATGACAATAATATTAATATTCCCCAGGGCTAACAACCCTGCAGTGTGAAAAAGGATTCGGCATAGAAGTGCTGTTTCCCCGCAAAAAAGTCTCATGCACTGGCCCCCAGGAGAATATAACTGGGACTCGGTGGATACAAGAGGCGCGTTTGCGTGGTCCTAGGATGGCCAGTTCGCGATAATAATAATAATAATAATAATAATAATAATAATAATAATAATAATAATAATAATAGATTTCAACTGTAAGTTTTGTTAATCGCCAGTTGGCATGTTCAGATTTTTTGTTTTCAACTACATGCTGAAATGAAAATGATAATGAAATGGTAATTTAACTTCAGAGTACCATGCATATAAAGAATGTAGATATATTTTAATTTAAAAATGAAGAGAATAAGGGGTCGTGATGAAATATGTTAAAGAAAGGAATATTGATACAAATTTTATCCTCATCCACATGAAGTTATTCAAATAAATTTGGTAAAGGGAAGGTGTCGTGGATTATCATCATTAGTTCAAGAACCAAGTACTGTAAGAAAGTAAATATTATGCAAACAAAAAATAATGGGATTTTCTCATGTGTTTTAGCTTTGTGTTTACGTTGCACAAGAGGTTCTGAACATAGAATTAAATGATGAAAAACGATATTAGTTTGTGATGACAGGCAATTTGCCACGCGTGTGTGTTAAGGGGGTTGCTTCACAGGAGCCAACGCCCAAAGCCCCTATTGCTTCGCGGAAGCTAGGTTCATCGGTTTTCTTAACGGCAATTATTACCGATTGCATACGGGAAAGCGGGCCAGCTTCGCATTTGGATTTGTCACCCCGGTCACGGCATATGCAATGTACGGTGCCACTGCATACAGAAGAGGTCGTCAGGTATTCTAAAGATTCTGTTGCCTCTCGATCCGCCGTTTAATCGTTCACTCTAGAGTCGGCATTATTTTCTTCTCGAGGAATCATGGGTAAAATGTGTGTTCACAATCTGAGTAATGATTTCGTCAAATTGTGGTGACCTTTTCATTCATGTGTCTAGTGTTCAATTGTCAGAAAGGATTCATTCATTCAGGAAGAAATATCAAATGTTCTTGTTAACATAATTTACACTATGTGTACTTGTTTTTCTTCCATTTGTCAAATGAATTTACTGTGTAAATATGAATACTGCGTTGTTTTGCATAAAGAAACATTGTACAATAAATCCAGTATGAAACTTCTCATGTATAAATAGATGAGAAAACAAGCAGTTCAATTCTCAAAATTAGTAAAAACAAGAATAACAAGATAAAAAGTGTTTGGAAATAGTTCTAGTATTTTTTCTGTGAAAAATTATGAACAGTCTTCAGAAACATCTACAACAACATGCTAATGGAAATTATGTTTTTAATAATTGTAGATTTAATTAATAGTTAATGTTCCTGTTTGTCTTTATGGTGATGCTGTGTTTCTTGTAATTGCTTAATAGGTATTTCGGAATGTAAACAAGACATTCTGAATCCATTTGTTCAGTATAACTCCCATGTCTTACAATAAGTAATTCTGGGAGGCAATGACAATAAAACCTTGCATCATGAACTGGTGTGCGAAAATTACAACGTATCTCTTTTTTAGTCTTATTTGTTTATTTAATAGTTTCATTTGAGTTTGTGAATGTATTTATTTGCGAAATAGTTTCACTAAATGCAGATCGTGCTTTGTGATTATCGATAAAACCCCACGATGTCGTGATATTACTTATGTTAAACGATATAGAAAATCAAAGATAATAAATAGACATTTCTTGAACGTTAGGCAGATGGCAGATGTTATTTGTTTACTTACATTGTTTCTTATGTTGTAGTCCGTTTGTTGTGTCAGCTCCGAGATATAACATTATTTCTGTGTTTGTTTGTTGAACGTTTCCATGTTGACTTACGACCAAGTACATGTAGTAATTCTACGAATAATGGCCAAATAAACATACCAGGCACGTGAGCATTACTCTCCTGGAGACAGTTGAGGGACGCTTCAGCGGAAACTTCATTGACCTGTCTTACCCAGAATTCGACCTTAACCAAAACTCAAGGTTGCTCCTTAGTGTACGTCAAATACGACAGCCGAGCAGACACTGCAGGGGATAGTAACACAGCGCGGAGCGCTTTGCACAGCCCGCGAATGAATGAATGAAAGACCGCTTCCGAGAAGCCGCCGCCGGCAGCGGCGCGAGCGTCAGCGCCGCGAGTGGCGGACGCTGCAACCCTCCGGGCCGTTTTCGCGCTCCGCCCATCAGACCTCATGCCCTCCCAGTTGCCTCCTCTCGGTGCTTTACCCGACGGAGGCGACATCGATATGTCAATGTTTTCAAAACGATTGTTCTCGATTTTTGTTATCGATTTTATCGATTAGTGGATTTTATCGAGTTATCGATTTTTGTTATATCGATGTATTGTGCTCCATGTTTTTTAATTTTTCTATGAGTCGTTTGTGGATTAAAAATGTCCACGCTCGCAATCTTGTCAAAGTTAAAATATGAAATAACAACTGATGGTATATGGTACTGTCAGTATACGTTTGAACCAAACGAACATTGTTTGTACTACTTTCATCGAGCAGACTCTCGCCATAGAAGACCAAATGCCTTGACATTTCCTATAGCTTCATTATGCGCACGTTTTGTTGTACTTTCTTTTTGCTTGTAATGGTCAGAGTAGAGGTAAGGGCGAGTTATTATTTTGTTAGCAATGCAGAAAAATCATACTTACAATTCGTTTACCGACGCAAATAATTTTTCTATAACTCGGGAAGGAAAATATCTATTTTTTTAAAATTTTGCTAATCTCGCGCTTTTTTAAAATTTTATTTTATTTATTTTAAACTTTTACTCATCTTTCAACTATTTATAGTTAAATGATGGAAAGGGATTCTGGAACTCAACAAAACGTGCCCAGATGATCTTCTCCCCCATACGTCACATAGTTTTTTCTGTTTTTTTGGACTAAATAAATGTAAGTCCTTCGACATTCATATTATTTCGCGCGTAGAGACGTCTTTTAAATTTGTTTTCAGTTACATTTTAATTTCAAATTAATATACATGACAACTATCAAATTAAATTTTGTAGCGCACAAAACGGTTACATGCTAGAAGTTACTAAACCAGGTTTAAATCATCGATGCTAAATGGTAGATGAACCTTGATGTCGGTTTTGAACATCGATGTTTAGTAATATCGATGTTTTGATATTGGTCGCATCACTACTCATCTGGTATCAGCTTATTCTCACACCTCACCGCCCTACCCTGACCTGCCACGTCTGCTGCTCCCGTGAACCGAGCACACAGCAGCCTGTGACGTCAGATGGCTGCAAAGAGAAGTGTGTGTGTGAGAGTGTGAGAGAGTGTGAGAGTGTGAGAGTGTGTGAGAGTGTGAGTGTGTGAGTGTGTGTGAGAGTGTGTGAGAGTGTGTGAGAGTGTGAGTGTGCGAGTGTGTGAGAGTGTGAGTGTGTGTGTGTGGCGTATGACGCACGTCGCTTGAGACGTGCGATGGCGCGCCCTGGCCCCCTTCCGCCCGTCCGTCCCTCCCACTTCCAGACAAATAAAAAGGACGCTTTTGGCGCAAATTTGTTAATCCGGAAAGATACTGTTAATAAAAAATAATATCTAACGTATGAATTAAAACTATCAAATATTAGTCTAAATGTTACATTTTGTTACCGCAAACACAGGAATCCAAAAAAAATTCAGAAGATATCCATAAGTTATAAATTCATGTTAGAGGCATTTAAATTGTTATTCTGAACACTGCCAGAAATGACC